GCAATTTATCTTCTTAAAAAATTTTTTTTCGAGTTAGTATTTGATTGACAACAACATCTTTTGGTTATGTGACCAACCGACCAAACTTCCCCCCTTAAACAAAATGATGTATATTGTGTGCCATTGTTGGAATATCCGGAGACAAAATACATAAAAAACATAAAAAGATATACATACTCTAAATTGTCAACAAAAATTGTTTTTTTGGAGAAAATTAGTCTGCAAAAAATCTGACAACTTAAAAATCACCAAACCCAAAGAAAAATCCGCAAAATTTCAATCCGCATTTTCTGCTTGTTTATTAAAAAATGTCCATTGGGATGATGATGGGCGGGACAGTAAAAGCAAACAAAAAAAAGTCACCAAAAAGTTGTAAATTACTCCTCTATTGTCAACGCTGTCAAAAAACAGGAAAAAAGGCCCAAAATATATATTTAAGGAAGTAAAAATATTTTCACCAAAAAGTTTTGAGCATTTTCATTTCAAAAAATTTTAACTTAAAAAAATATTTTCAAATTTTCTTAAAGCTCTAAAAACACGATGATTTACTATCAACAAAATTTATTGTTACTCCTTACAGTTTGTATTGTATCACTAACACTTGCCATAAATGTTCAAAATATGAATGATTTACAGAGAAATCATTTGATTGGTAAGGAAATTTTGGAAAAAAATAAAAATTGAACCCCATAACCCTCAAAGAAAATCAAGTTTTTTTAAGAAAGAGAATTTCCCGGTGAAAATATCTTAAATACTGAATCTCAACTACAAAGGCAAGCACATACAATGGATGAAGAAATGCTTGGACGAGTAGAAGCTCAACTTATGGGGGCAATGGAAATGCTTCAAAATTATCGAGGTAACTCAAAAAATATTTTTAATGAATCTACGCATTAATTAATTTCAAAAAATTATAAACTAACCTTCAAAGCAATTAAAATTCATTTTCAAATTAGCCGCTTCCTCACCAGCAAAATTTACAGAAAAAAGAAAGAACAACAAATTTGAATTCATTCGATTTGGACGATGAAAATAAAATTAAAGATTGAAAGAAAATAAAAAAGTATTTTTAAAAATCTTTAAAATTTTTTAAAAACAAAATTCGATTTAAAAAAATCTCACAAAATTTATATTTTATTTGAACTCACTCAATAACATGTTTAAAAAATTTAAAAAATATTTTAATAACCGTCCATAACTATACATATTTAAAGAAAAATTAACACAAAAGGTCAGAGGGTGTCAAAAAAAGATATATACTTATAATGCATAATAAATTTCTCTCTTATTCGTCTCGCGCTGTAACCATGTCTTCACGTTCTGATTCGTCTTAAAAAATGAATTTAAAAATTGAAATCAGAAAATCGGTACTTGGAATTATCCCTAACCAGTTTTGCACTCATTTGTAAGAAGCAAAATTTTTTCATTCCTCAAACCATGGCATAGAGAGTGAGAAACACTTCCGTAAATATGAGTACGCGAAAACTCATGAGGGATAAATCACAAGTACCAAAAAAATAAAAATTAAAACCATTTCCATTAATTGCCAAAGAACATTTTCGTCCAAATTCTTCCTCAAATTCTTCATTTTCTGTACTATCATCTGTATGACCCGTAAAGTTGAGAGCACCGATTGGAGGTGATTTATTTGAAGTACTGGGATTATTGTTACTATAATTTAATGGATGAGATCTCTTATTTAATTCAGTTTTAGAAGTATTAAAGAAATTGCACTGAAAAGAAAAGGAATAAGAATAAATTTAAACAAATAAAACCCTGTAACAGCAATAAGAAATTGTTTTAAATTCTTCTCTCAAGGCCATTCCATTATGAGTATAACAATTTGAGCAGATGAGGGCATACCTATAAAATCAGATATTAATTCGTATGGTTTTTAAGTGACGTCGTAGGGTTGCCATTTCTGAAGCGAACCCAGAAAAATTAAAAACAAAAAACGCCAACCTATTATTTATGCTTTCTCCCATAACAAAATCCAAAATTCGATCTAAACTACCACGACTTTCTTCAACAAATGGACGAATAGGCACTCGGCGATTTGGTGATGTCCCAACATTCCTTAAAACCGTCTGTCTTGGGTCTCTAATTTCATAAAGTTTTGGAAGTGGTTGCGGTGTATTATTATTGTTCTGTTTTTGATTTGTTCCTTGTTGATAATTAGAATTGTTTTTATTTTCTGTCATAGGTTTTGTTGTCGTTTGTGAAGGTGAAGAGGAAGTAGCAGATCCTAACCATTGCGAGACTTCGTTTTGTGACCCGTATTTCTCAATAATTGCCTAAATAAAAAGTACATAATCTCTGGCCTTTAGTTGATTAAAAAGTCTACTTAATTAAAAAAATACCTTCGCTACTTTAAATTTTTCATTTTCTTTAACATCTTCAATAATTGCAACTTTTCGTTCAGTGAAAAAGCGAAGTCGTCTTTGCTTTCTTTGAATTAACCAGTCAAAAATAGTGTTTGAAGTAAAACGCAATATCAAAAATGAAAGAGCACAAAGAAAAATAGACGAAGAACACGAGAATAATTTCCATTTTAAACTAGGATAATGAAGCCAAAAATAGCCACAGCTCCCACTTACTAAAATAAATGCACCAAAAAGAAGGCAATGGTAGAACCTTAAATTGCGATATTTTCAATTAATATACCATAACCAATTTCCTGATAAATTTGCGGAAAAATTACGCAAAAATTTTAGCGGACCGTTATGGATACATATCTAGAATTAAATAATAAAAAAAATCACCAGATTTTACATTCCAACAAATTTTTCACTTGCTCCTCCAAATCTTTAATTTGCTGAACAAGTTCATCCAATTCTTGGCTAGGCAATTTTCGACGTCGAAAGTAGCGTATAAAGTTTCCCATTCATAAGAAAATGTTTAACTACTGAAAAAAGTATAAATGGCCTATGCTGTAAAATCAAATGCTGAAAATTAAAATAAGTTCAGAAATACGAAATCAACTAAAAAATTAAATGGATAAATAATTTCCAAATATTAAAACGCATTTAAAAATAAAAATCAATTTATAACAAAAACAAAAAAAATAAACAAAAAAATTAAACAAACGGTGGATAAATATCATTTTTTTCTTCATCTTCTCCTTCGGCCAAAAGTTTTTGTTTGTAGTCAATATAGCGAAAAGCTTTATCATGTTGGCCAGTTTTGTACATATTTTGCAACAACCTTTCCTCGAGCAAATCCAATGCACGTCGTGACAAAACCAAAGTCTCATGCCTCAAAATACTATAACAATTCAATCCATAAAGAGGCATAACAGTGAAGGAAGGAATATGTGAAGTTGCTTCAACCAAATTTGCTGAAATATTGTCCGCAGAACTTAAAAATATTTTTGTAATTTAATATAAAAATAAAGGTAACGTGTCAACAAAGAGCACAGAATAGCCCCAATTGCGAGCCTCAGCCAAATCATGAAGATACTAAAAAATAATTTTTATAAATCAAATCTGAAATTTATACGCAGAAAACCTGCGGATCAGGGGAAGCTAAGGAGTCAAAATCATCAACAATAATTAGATCGTCTTGAACATGTTTAATAGTCAGAGCCACTCGTAGACCATGAATTCGTATTGAATAAGGCAACATGTAAAAACGAGTTAGCGGCCCACGCACTTTGTGAACAAAACCACCGCGAATAAAATGAGGCGCTCGGATACTAAATTTTAAAGAAATTTCGATAAAATTTTATCGAGAAATTTAAAACCTTCCAGCTTGTGCTCGACCCATCCTTTTCTGTGGCCAAGGTTTTCGCCCTCCACCAGGCATTTCAGCACGGGTTAACATTCTAGTAAGTACTAAGTTTTTGTAGGTAGTTTGCCTTAAATTTTTACAATTAAAAAAATAAATAAATGCAAAAACCATGCAATATTTCGATGCAGAATATCCAAACGTGGAGTGACGCGGAAAATATCTAAAAAAAATAAATAAGTGAAAAAAGATCGATAAATTTAAACCTGGATGCAGTTGAATTATGTCATAATTCCGGTCGTAAATTTCATCCAAGGAAGTGACCCAGGCTTCAGGTATTTCAAGAAAAGGATTTGTAGTGTCTAACCTCCATAATTCTCGAGGTTGTGATGATGACTGCGAATTAAGTGTAGCTGCACTAGAAGAGCAAAAGTTGTTAACAGAATTAAAAGTTCTACTAAGATGACGTGAAAATAAAGCTGGCAGAAATTTAAAATTCATCTGATGAATTAAAAAATTTAGGTTGTAAACGAAAAAAATTAAAAAATTAGTTCAAAAGGGCAATATGTCATTTTCAGTTAATATGTACATTTTGAATGTTTGGTGTTTTAAATAAAAAAAAGAAAGACATTTTGAAAAAAGACATTATGCCAAACAATTTTTTAAAAAATTGGCGGGAGCTGGAAAAATTATTCTTTCAAAATTCTCGAAAAACATGTTTAGTGACAGCTCGAGTTGTTGCGTGTTTTTTTCTTTTTTTTTATGTTTTTTATATGTTTCATCTGTTCATTTCATTGTCCCTCGCTGCGCTAGCCAAAAATTTAAAAAATTAAAATTAATTTGACCAAAAATATGAAATTTTTCAAATTTCCAGGCCCAGCCTGCTGTCTTCATGGATGGTTTGGTCTGGTTGTGTTTTTTTATTTTTGTGTTTTTTTTAATATTTTATCTAATTTGATGAATTTTAGGAAATGTTCTTCAAGAACGATGGTGCAATGGTGGAGCAGCTCTGTTTGGTTGGTGGTGGTGTGGTGTGGTTGTTATTTTTTAAATTTTTTTAATTAAAAAATAAAAATATTTAACGGAGGGTGTGTGTTTTTCAGGCAGGTACGACTTCGGCCCTGTGCAGATTTGGTGGCAGTCAACCATCTTCATCAATTTGGTTAACTTTATTTTTTAATTTTGAAATGAAATTTTCATTTTTATAGCTCTTCGACCTTCGTCTACCGTGGTACACTTCAGCTCTATTTTTTAAATATCAATTTTCTCTAAAGATGTGTGCAACATGGCTGGTTCAATATGGTCAATGGACATGGAGAATATGGACAAGGATTTGGTTGGTAAAACGGTGTGGTGGTTTTTTTTAATTTGGGAAAAATTGGGGGGAGGGAACTTTTTCAGCTAGGTGCTCGACAACAGTGGTGGCTCAAACTGGTGGCAAACATGGTCTTCAACAACATGCTTGGTACGTTTCAACCATTTTTAAAAATAAAAAAATTTGCTAAAAATGCGCACGCGTCTCCTGCTTTCCTCACACTTGTTTTTTTTGTTGTCCTTGTCCTTTGTCTGATTTTTCTTTTCACCATTTTTTAACTTGTTTTCAGTTTGTTGATTGGATTTCAGGTTTTTTCAATTTCTGGCAGAACAACTTCATGGAAAAATTGGTATCAGTAAAGGTTTGATAGATTTTGATTAGCTGGTGATTCATCGATTCGTTTGTGCTGTGTGTTTGTATCACTCATTTTTTTATTTTTCAAATTTTCTGGCATTCTGTTTATCTAGAGTCTCATGGAAATAGTATAGTTAGAGAAGACAGAGTTTTATTTAATTCTTTGTCATTTGAGTCCTGTCATCTTTTTCTTCATTCTTTTTCAACGTTTTTCATTCTCTCTCTGTAAATTTTTCAAATTTTTAGGTTATCGATTTAAGCCAATTGCTTATCGAATTGCTGCTCATGTACACAATATTTCGGCCAATTTCAATTGTCTCCAGCCTTTATTTTTCCTTTATTTTATGGCAACTAAAAATGATATTTTCTATTTTATTATATCTTCGTGATTATGTTAAAGCCTTGTTTACTCTTGTTCATGTTTACTACTTGGGAATCATCTACGTTATTTACGAATTCTTTGAGGATTGCAGAACTGGAGTTAAGATGACTTCTAGAAAAATGCTTTTTAACAACAAAATAAACAAGTGGACTCGAATTCTGAAGCAAATGAGAACAGACAAACTTGATGATTCAGGCAATGTGGATTCTTCTAAATTGGTGGCAGTTATTACTGGCGCTGATGGAACAATAGGAAGCGAGGTTATTTTTATGTTTATTTTTACTCAATTTTTAAATTTAAAGTTGCTAATGTATCTGCTTGCTTTGGATTTCAACGTCTTTGCTGTTGGTCTATATCCACCAACCAATCAATTTCAAAATCTGGATAATTTGCACTTTATAAAATGTGATTTGGGAAATATAAATGAGGTAGCATTTTTAAATTTTTATTCTATGAATCTGCATAATTAAGGTTTCTCGATTCAATAGGTCTTCTCCGCTGTCGAAACTATTCAATTGTCTTTTGATCGGATTGATTTACTTATTTTGAATGCTGCAATGTTTTTATCACCAAAAATTGGCTGGTTGCCTTATCGACGTGAAATGATAATTGGTGCACAAATAATAGAACGTCATTTGGCTGTTAATGTTCTAGCTAATGCTCAACTATTTGCTTCATTGTCTCAACGTTTAGAACAGAGTGTTTTATCTTCAGGGAAAGCAATTTTTGTTTCGTCGTGTTCAGCTAGAGCTGGGGATTTGTCTCTGCTTTTGAAAAAACAAGACGGTTAGATTTTTTTATTTTTCACCTTTATCAAAAATTTTATTTTAGAACGTTTTTGGTGTCGTCATTTAAATGGCTATAAATCATATGCTGATTCTAAACTTTTACTTTCCGCTTATGTTCAATATTTAAATAAAGTTTTGAGGTTTTTTAATATTTTATTTCACATTCTCTTTTATTTTTCAGGTCTCGTGACAGTCACATATCAGTTGCCAGCGTTCATCCAGGTGTTGTTCCGGGGAAATTTTATAAAAATGTTTTTTGGCCTTTCCGATGTTTCATAAATTGGATTTTGGCGCCGTTCATGAGGTTTTTGTTTTTTATTTTTGGTGAGGATAATTGGAAGACTTTTCTATTTTTCTAGAACACCTTTACAAGCTGCTACTCAAATTTTGGATATTGCATTTTCTCCCAGCCATAGTTCTCCTACTAATTCAACTAATCTTTACTACGAGAATGGGCTTCCTTCAAAAATAAATGCGCTTCAAAACCAAGAAAATATTTGGCTTTATGGTCGTTGTGTTAGGGAAATGATTGTTGATAATGATGAAGAAAATTTATCTTTCAATATTAATACTGGTAATTTTGATGAAAATTCAAAACAAAAGCAACTAGAACAATCATCAGCAGAATTTTTTGAACGCTTATTATCTGAAGCTGGAGCTATTTAAAATTTTGATTTGAATTTTTTTAATTTTATAAATTCTTAAATTTTTTAAGAAAATAAAAATTAAACCCCTGAAATTTTTACTAGTTGAATTTCTAAATTTTTTTGCTACTTCTAAAAATTTTTTATTAATCAAGATTATATCTCTTATATTTTTACAACACTTTTCCTTTCTTGTATCCATTACTTTTAATTTTTGTTGCCCTCTTATATTTTTATGCTCGTCCATCACCACGTTTAAATAAAATGGAAAAGATGTAAGCTGAATAAGGCATAAATATATGCAAATTCATAAAAATTTATGTTTTTACTAGTTTTAAGAAATGGGGGGTTGTTTTATGTCCAAAATTTATAGGGCTAGGCTTTCACTTCTTTTTTGACTACTAAACCTAAGCAAGCTCAGAAACTATAAAACTACCAACTCTTTAAATTTGGAAGAAGAGTAGTTTTTGTTTCTTGCTTTAAGTTGTTGGGGTGAGAATAATTTTTTCCTTCCGTCTTCAATTTTTCTTGAGACTTCCTTCGTTTATTTTCAGCCTTTTCTCTTCTTTTTTTCTTCCAGCTGCCCTTGCCAAATTCCCGAAGGGTGCCCCCATCAAAATATCCATATATCCTTTCCACTATTTTTTTGACAAATTTTTATTATCCAAAAGTGGTAGAAAAGAAGAGGAGAAAAAATTTGTTCAGAAACACAAAGTATTTAATTTTCGAGAGAATTTTTTAAGTTGGTTCTAGTCTCAAATTTAGCTCGGGAAAAATTATGGTTTTTTTTGTTATTAAAAAAATTTTTTTAATCCTGTTATCCAAAGAAAAAGCATTTTGCTTTCTAGTTCAGCTACTACTTACTGCTCATCAATCATCTATGCAAATTTCAATTTTTGTTCACTTGTTTAAAAAGGCAACAATTCAACCGGAAGAAGAAGAGGAGAAAAACAAACAGGGTGAGAAAAATGCGATCTATTTAATAAAAATATTCTTTTCTTTAAAGAAACCTCAAAAAAACAATAGAATTTTGAGACATATGGACATCTTTTAAAAGAATTATGATGATCATTAATTGAGCACATGGATGACAGACGGCGGTGGTTGGATTGAATAAAAAAAAAATTTTATGGAAAATAGAAAAGAATGCGCAACTGTTGTTGTCATAAAAAAGACATGGAAAAGGTTTAGAATTGAATATTTATTTAAGGTCAATTTTTCTTTTAATACCGTATTTCCTATATTAGAGCCCCACTCTTTGTTAGAGCCCCACCCTCTAATACAGCCCCACTTTGGAGGATAGTTGAAAAATAGAGCCCCACCCTCAATTAGAGCCCCACCCCAAATACAGCCCCACCTAAAAAATATTGGAGGAAAAAATATCAGAATAACTTTTAAGATGTATGTATTAAGAGAGTTAAGGAAATAAAGGGGGATATCTATGATTTCGTGATCATTGAGGAGGAGGGATCATGGGGATTAGGGATGAAAATGAGGGATTAATCCCGTTATCCGTCAAAATACTCTAATATCGCCTATATTCCTCTAAATTCCTCCTATTACCTCCAAAATCTAATCATTTTATAAAGGGTTGCAATCGTGTTAGGCACTTGATGATAATTCGCGAGATTATTAGAGATCTATTAGATATCTAATCAGTGATATCTAACCAAAATTTCTCTGGAACCGATTTCAGTTACGTAACTGCTATTTGAATTTCTTCAGTTCCAGTTCTGGAACCTGTTCCAAAGCTTTATCAAACAAATCCCTTCATATGCCTCCTAATACCCCTAGTCCAGAATATCCCTCATAATCCCTCTAAATCTCTCAATATAAACTTAATCCTCTGATATTCCCCATAATCCCTTAAAATCCATTTTTATCCCTCTAATCCATCAATGTCAAATAAAAGTTCCATAATATTTCCTTTAATCCGTCCAAATCTACCCATATTTAATAATTAATCTTACTCTCATTGAACTATTGGGACTATTTTGTAATTCATTGCTTAAAAAGTTTTGGTTTTTCTTGAAAAATCGAAAAATATAGATTCTCTTTCGATATTTTGCGGCTTTATCGACCAAACCCTCCGACTTATCTCTAGTTGCAATGGATATAATAAATGGGATTCTATCTCAAAAGAGGGTTGAAAAATAGAGCCCCACCCTCAATTAGAGCCCCACCCTTTAATACAGCCCCACCTTGGAGGATAGTTGAAAATTAGAGCCCCATGGGGCTCTAATATAGGAAATACGGTAAGTATTTGAATATGAATTTTCGGGATTTTAGGAAAATTTATAAATTCTCATTTTTTAGTTTTTTACTATTTTTAAACGTTGCTTTACTAGGCACATTTCTTCAAATTCCCGCACATTTCTTGCCATTCAGCCTATTCTTATGGTAGCTTTATCCAACAACTAAAGAGGAGGAGACTGACTTTTTTTATTCATTTCTCTTTGTTGTGGATTGCAAGTGGAAAGCATGCCTTAACGAAGCTGAGTGACGATGGTGGCCAAATGGCAAAATGACTGAAAAAAGAAAATGAAGAATATTTTAGCATCGGCAACCAATCGGAGATGGTGCCAATTCCCCGGCGGCGTCCGCCTTTTCTAAGGTTTGCCTTTATTTTGGATGAAATAGATAGACCGGGAAAGGCATATCCGCTCACATTTTAGTATTTATCCTGTGTCCTCAATATAAAGCTATAAAAGAATTCTCGAAAGGATTAGCCCTGTAGGGAATTTTTTGTTTCTCTTCAAGCTTTTCACCTTCTAATAAACAACCAACTCTATTTACTAGCATGTACAATAATCACCAGGGACTGTTCGGTTTCGCACCACAGCATTCGCTTCTACAGCCATTACCACCACCATCACATCTTTCTCAACGTGGTGGTGGGATACTTGAATCAGCAGGGGTTACTACTTCAAGCAGTAACAATTTATTACTTCGCTCGACAACGGGAATTAAAAGTGAACATTTTTTGAAAAGTGAACATTCTACTACTGCTAGTCAACTTTTTAATTGTTGGCCTAATGTCTCACCGATGCTGCAAAATTGGTATATCTTTCATTTTTTCTTGATTTATATTTAAATTTAACAGTGTTGGACAATTGGCTAAAGCAAAATTTGAACTCCCACCACCAAGCAATCTTCGAAAATCAAACTTTTTCCATTTTACCATCACTTTGAGAGATCATGGAGATCATCCTGTTGAAGTTGAACAAGCAACATTTGCTGGTTTTGTTGAAAAAGGAAAAGAAGTGCCCGGTGAAAATACTCGAAATGGTATTCATTATAAGTTGGTGCTTCTCTTCATTAATGGTGAGGAAAACTTCCCTTTGAAAGCTTTTTATAAAGAAAAGTAGTTGTTAAAATGTATGTAGTTGACCCTAATCTAATTAGGCTAAGAGGCTGGTACTAAGTCCACTACTAGTAAAATTTTGAGAGGATAAAAATAAATTGACTTAAAGGAAAATAAAATAATAGTCATATAAGAAAGATCTGTGAAAATTTTATAAAAGATAATTTCCAGTAAACAAACAATAATATGTGAAGGGGATAAATTACTTTATTATATTTTTACTTCCTTGTAAGAAAAGGATGGAGTCTTTTATTAATTTAAAAGAGAGAGGAAAAGGAAGTACTCAACTCTCTAGTATATTAATTAAAAAATGTTTTTATGTCCTAAAACTCTAATTCAGTTATATCCAGAGTCGAATAATCTTCTTCTTCTTCCTAAGCTTCTCCTATTTTAGCGCACAATGGTTCCTTTTCTTCCAATTTTTGTAGAGGAAGAGGTCATAACAATTTAGGCAGGAAAGGAAGGGTTTATGGCAGGGCTCTCATTCGTGCTTTATTTGAAAGTATTATACTTTGAAACCGACCTCCATACTTAAGAAATTGAATTTATACTTTATTGAAAGTATATACTTTAAAATCAACATTTTGGATTGAAAATGAAATTGGGGAAGGGATTGGGCAAAAAAGTGAATTTTTTTAGCCTTGGGCCTTCGAAATTATCAAAATTTTCGCCTGCGGCGCTGAAAAAGAAAGAAATCTGGCTTCTTGGGCTCCAAATTTCAAAAAATTTTCGCCTGCGGCGCTGAAAATGGGAGAAATCTGACTACTTGGGCTCAAATTTCAAAAAATTTTCGCCTGCGGCGCTGAAAATGGACGAAAGCTTGAGGTTAAGACTGTCAGGGCTTTATTTCTTGTATCAGCGAATTTTGACATGTCATGCGTTGAAATGCACAAAATGCCCAATGGAAGCAAGAAATTATTAGAAAAGATTCATTTAAGAGAGAAATATAAAAGATTTGAGCACGAACAAATATTTTCCAATTTAATTTTGAGTATACTTTAAATTTGGAAATTTTCTCCCTATATACTTTTTTATCAAGATTTTGATACTTTTGAGTGGCATTTTGTCGATGAGAGCCCTGGTTTATGGCAATAACCAAAACATGAAATTGGACTCTCTTTGCTTTTTAGAAAAGGGGAATGCGCAATAAAAATGCGTGGAATCGTTTTAAAATAAAGGAAGAAAAAGTGGCACAAGCTTTTTTAGGGAAGAGAGATAAACCTAAAAATGAAGGATGTTTAATTTTCCTAATTAAACTTGCTCTAGTCTAAGGCCATAAAATGGTCATAAAAAATGTGGGGTTGCCAAAATGATTAAAAGCACACACAATTCTTTTGGCTAGTCTTAGGATAGGATTAAAATCTTTGCTTATTATATTTTAACCAAAAATTTCCCAAAAAAGATCCAAAGATAAATATAACTTTTATTATTTTTGTAAAAACAAAGTCATTAAAAATTAAATTTACGCAATCTCAACATGCCAATCCGGCTCATTAAGCGATGAATAGAAGAAGGGGGGATTTATAAAGGATAGACATAACAATGTAATAATGTGCCTTGACACCCACTTATAGGGGGAAGCACTCATTAAAATTGTGGAGGGGAAATGTAAATAATATATGGAGTAAACAATGGCATGTATTAGAAAAAAATGTGGGGGCTAACAGGTGTGAAATAGAGATTTATCATTTGACTGGGTTTCATTTAGGGAATAACTGTACTTTCCTAGATGCTGTTGTTTTAATTGTATCTCCAGGGATTAGGTCAATTTTTTAATGAAACGGAAGTAAATAGAAAGAAAAATAACTTAAAAAGAATTTGCATAAATAAGGTCTTTTACGGTATATTACGTTTCCGGGATTATTAAATTTTTGACCAAAAAGTGAACTATAATTTCTGTCCAAAATATTTTTTTATTTTTTCAGGCATTCGAACAGAACAAGATTTTTATGTTCGCCTTGTGGATAGCCAAACAAAACAAGCAATTGCTTATGAAGGTCAAGATAAAAATCCTGAAATGTGCCGAGTTTTATTAACACATGAAGTTATGTGTTCACGATGTTGTGAAAAGAAAAGTTGTGGAAATCGAAATGAAACTCCTAGTGATCCGGTTAATTTTTAAGAAATTATTGATTCTAAAAATTTTTAATTTTAAGGTTATCTGTGACAAATATTTTCTTAAATTTTTTCTAAAATGCAACCAAAATTGTGAGTTTTTAAAGCTTTGTTTGTTTTTTAAAGTATATCAATATTTTTAAGGCTTAAAAAACGCTGGAAATCCTAGAGATATGCGTCGTTTTCAGGCAAAAAATTTTTTCTCAAGTCATAAAATTTTTTCAAATTGAAGGTTATGTTGTCAATGACACCTCGTGTTGATACTGATGTATTAGCTGTATCAGACAATATGTTTGTTCATAACAACTCTAAACATGGACGCCGCGTTAAAAGAGGTGGGAGTGAGTCAGGCACTGTTGAAGGTTATAAACTTTTTCTGATTTTTTCCTTTGGGAAATCAGAAATTTTTTCGTTGATTTATTTGTAGAATTACCTTCAATTTCAGTCCCTTCATCTTCTTCTATCAACTCTACAAACAATGCTGCACCAGTGATTAAGCATATTTTTCCGTCTGAAGTTTGTTGCCAAAGTGGTGGTTCAGCAATTTTAATTGGAGAAAATTTTCATGAAGGAATGCAAGTATTTTTTGGAAATTCATTGACTTGGTCTGAGGTTTATAGTCTTTTTATAAAAAAAATGTTTTTAATTAAATTACAGTTAATTACTCCACAAGCAATTAAAGTTAATATTCCTGTAAGGCCAAATGCTGGCTCAATTGATGTTTTTCTTTGTTCTCCAAAAGGTCAACCAAAAATGCGTTCTAATTCTATCCGTTTTTCTTTTAGTTGTAAGCTTTTTTATTAAAGAATTTTTTTTTGTTTTTCTTTTAAGCATCATCCGAACCAAGCATTGATACAGCCTTTCAACGATTACAAAAACTTTTACCAAAATACCCAACTGATCCTGAACCTTTACCAAAAGAATTTATACTTCATCGGGCAGCCGATTTTGCAGAAATGCTTTACTTTAACTGTACAGCATTTTATCCTATTGAGCCAGGTTAGTTTTTTTGAATGAAATTTTTTTAATCATCAAAATTTTAGAACGACTAGCCGCTACTGCTGATTATCGTAACTACCCATCACAACGAGTTCTTAATTTGGCCTCAAACCCTGCTGCTTATATTCCTTATACAAATGGAAATGTGGCTGCTAACTTTTCGAATATTTTAAATTCATCGGCTAATGGTATTTTTCTATAATTGAACCTTTAATAAATAAAGATTTTTTTGTTAATAGGATTTCCACCCTTCAGTAATACATTTATACAAACACTACAGAAACCAGGGTCTTATTAAATGAGAAGAAAGTAAATTTAAGAAATGAGAATAATAAAATTTTAAATTTTTATTTAACATTTAATCATTTTTTTGTAATTTTTTTAGCCAAATTAAAATATATTTTAAAAAGTTTTTTTATTGGCACTACTTTTGTTGTCAGCTAGCTACAAAGCTTTACTTTCTTTTTTTTATTAATTTCAATTTTTATTTTTTTTCAATATATTAATTTATTGCTATTTAATGCTCTTCAAGTGGTTATTTATATGCAACAACAAATGAGATTATATTCTTTTTTAAAATTGGATGAGATTGGTGTTTGAGGATTTCAATTTCAGATGAGATGATATACAAATGAGTTGGTTTTTCATCATATTTCAGTTTTGACGAGGTTTTTAAATTATTTTTAATTTTTAAGGGCTTTAAGGTTTTGTAAGGTGCCCGGGTGGTTTTTCATTCCCTTTTCCTCTTTCCCCAATAATGAGTGGGTTTTTGCCACAATAATATGCAAGAATGCTAATCTTCCTACTCATTCTTCACTTTTCTCATGCGCACTTTTTCTTTACTTTCTACATTCCTTTGATCATTTCCGGTTTGATTCGAAACGTATCATCAATTTGCAATTTAAAAAAGGTTTCTTAAGGAAAATTTTTTTTCCAATTTTTCTTCTTTCCAATTCCTGTTCTTCAAAAAAATATTTTTTGTCATTACTTTTAAAATTTTTCTTTAATTATTTGCTCTTTTTTTATTTAATTTAAATTCTTTGTCATCCTCATTCCTTTTATTATAAAATTTAATTCAATTTAATTAAAAATTTTTTTTATTTTCATAGGGCCATTTTTAAATCAAGGTTATATTTTTAATTTTGTTGCCACGCCTTTTTTAACAAATTTATATTTTAAAAACTAAAATTAGTTTTCTCTCTACTCTTCTCGTCTTATCATTTTACTCTTTTCTACAATTGTCTCATAATGGGTTTGTACTTATCTTAAACTGATTTTTCTGTTTCCTATTTTCTTAGAATCATAGCAGGGATGTGAATCTCTTCCGCTTCCAACCTCAGCTGATTTTGTCTTTTTTTTGCTTTTCCGTTTTTTTAATACGGCAGGGCCAATTAATCTAGTCATCATTCTCGTTGATTTTCTCCATATTCTTCGTGAAATCATTGTAAAATTTTCTTGAAAGCTTAAAAAGTAAATGTTGGTTTTGAACGGAAATGTTTCATCAAGAACATTGAATGATTTTTCTTTATTTTTTTAAATCTAAAATAAAGTCTTATTTTTCCATTTTCCCACTTCAGGCAAAAGTCTGCTAGCTACTTGTTTCCACTTTTATCCAGACAATAAAATACAAAACATGCGCAAATAAATAAATTATGTGAAAGAAATTTTTTATAAAAATGTAAACACCGTCAAAAGTCAATTCTTCTACGTCCTAAAATTTTTTTCTTCATCTTTATTTCTCACTTTTTGTCTTATATTTATTTGAACTCAGAATGATCTTATGGCCAGTCTATTTACTTTTATCCTTCCATGAGTCATTTTATTTTATTCATTTTTGTAAATTTTTTTTAAACTTTTCATGCAATGCGCAAGTCTCTCTCCCACGCTTCA